TTGGGAGGTGACAAGTGATATCAGAGCAGATTACTTCCTGTCAGGTGTGTGAACTCTCTATAGTCTAATGAGACCCTCAGTGGAGCCGATCTATGACGAGGGTGTCAAGTGATTGAGTGGAGGAGAATGTCATGGACAAAAAAATTCATCGGCTAAGTGTATGGCTGCAAAATAGTATTTAAGTCCTGGGCTGCCCACCACTTCAAAAAACTCTTTTGAGAGATGACAAAGCACTTTGGTTTATTAAGAGCCTACTCTTATCATCCAAACAACCAACAAAATAAAAAAAAAAAAAAAAAATCACATTCATATTTACTGCTTTAGAGGAATTCCATTTGAGGGAACGTGTAAAAAAAAGAAAAAACCCCACAAAAAAAAAAAAAAAAATCACATTCATATTTACCGCTTTAAAGGAATTCCATTTGATTAAATGTGTAAAAAAAAAAAAAACCCTAGAAAATTGTCACTGAAGTGACGACAGAATACCAAGGAAACTTCCAAATGCTATTTAATGATGCCCTCGTTGATGTTTGATGTTTCACTAAATCAGAGCACATCCACTCGCCCTTCATCTTCATCTTTTTATTTTACCTAAATCCTTTTAAACACCTTTTTGATGGAAACCAACGGCAACTCAAATCAAAGAAGCAAGCAGATTACAGGCGAGGAAATTTCTCCATCATTTTACAATAATCAAAACAACCTTGCATTACATACAAAAACTCATACAATTCATTCATCAAAGAGACATCAGGTTTAAGAAATAGGAAAGAAGCAGATCTATGAGCAGATTAATCAAGCTCTGCCGATACAGTTTAGCCCCATACATCCTGTGAAAAAAATCCTCAGAAACCTTTTCTGCAACAAAAATAAAAGCAGGAGGAATTCAGAATTCAGAAACAGAGTCGACTCAGAGTTCACAAAAAGAGGGAGGGATGAATATACCCTCTTCGGCTTCTGATAAAGTAGCTCTGGTGGAATCTCATACAAGTCTTCATCTACTGCTTTAGGAGCGGCTACTGATTTTCTCGGCGGCCGAGCAACATCGCCGGAGACCGTCCCTTGTTTCCTCTGCTTCTCTTCCTTCAAGTACCCCTTCTCCTCTCCTCCATTGCCATTCCTCTTCCTCACCTGAAATCAACCACGTAAACAGAGGCAACCAATGGAGAAATAAACATAAAACCACTGTAAAGAATGACAATTCGAAACCTTCCGGCGATAAACGCCATCCTGATAAGCCAACTTCACCGGCATCGCAACCGGAACGTTGCAGAGATCTTCCTCATAACTTGCCTCTGATAAACCAGCTCGAACCAGCCCAGCTTTTCTCGCTGACTCGAAGTAGTGCGTGATGGGCATCTCGTCGCTGTAATCCCAGTTCCCAAAGGTCGGAATTTGCAACCTCTTCCTAACCTGCAGGGAACATTGTAAACCACAAACCATAACCTTTCTGCATTCCCAAAATCAGAGGACCATAAAAATCCAATCTTTGCTCACCTCCATTCCTCGAACTACAAGCGGAATCACTCCTACTCACGAAGGGCGGCCTGACAGCATCTTTATATCAAAGAAGGGTCAGAGGAAGAGGGAGGGAGAAAGTAAGAGGGAGAGAGAGTAAAAGAATGAATGGTTTGGTGGCGTTTTTATGAGGGAGACAGAATCTGGAGTGCTCTGCTTGCTTTAAGAAGTATGGCTTCGTCTTCCTCGCTACTCACAGAAGAAGGAAGGCTTCTCCTGTTCCTCTGCTCGCATCCCGAGGAGCAACACTGCAGCTTTCGTTTTTTATCTGAGGTTCGGAGAGGGCCTCCTCGGCGCGTGTTACGTGTTGAGGTTTAGAACCTCGGGTGCGGAACGGTTTCTCATGGCGAATCACGTGAAGATTGAGTGATTTTAAAACGGGGGAGAAAGGTCTCTGCCTCTATATCAGGAAACGGAGGAGAAGAAATCACCACGCAGAGTTCTTTTTCCATTTTTCTGCCATTTGCTGTGGGGATGATAAGAGATCAAATGTGGGCATCTGATAAATTTGCTTTTGGTTTCTTTCTTTAATCATTTCTACATTTGTTATCTTCTTTTCTTTCATGCATTAGGTAAAGAAAATGATTTTGTTTTCTCTGTTACGGTTGTGTTGTACTTGATTAATAGCTACTGGTATATATATATATATAT